ACACACACACACACACACACACACACACACACACACACACACACACAATGAGAGACCCAGTAGAAATAGATAATCATTGTATGAGTCATGTCTTCTAAATTTAATAATTAGATAATGATTATTATTATCACCTCTGATTGACCTGAAAATGACTACTAGGGCACACACACACACACACACTCATACACACACACACACACACACACACACTCACACAGGAAGCTCATTTGCGGAGGTTATTGAATTATCTCAGGGTGGGTGGTGAGGTGACAAAGAGGGACTCTGATTCAAAGAGAGCGGAGAATGAGACGGCTGCATAAATTCAATTGCTGCGCTCCGTCTTGGTGGCGAGTACATCTTAGAGAGCAGAAACAATTTACATATACTTACAGTCAGTACCTGGTTTGTCAGGTAAAAATGTTCCACATGGATCTTGAAAGGGACCTGTTGTACTAGCAGTAGTTTACCCAGACCTCTACTTGACTACTTAAAACAATATTCAATATTTTTATGATTGAAAAAGCAGCATTAATTCCTCTGAAAAGTAATGTTCCAGTGTACTCTACATGATATCCCTGTAACACCAATGATGAAACTGAACGTTGCACTTTTATTTCCTTATTGGCAGCCAATGTACTTAAAAGTTAATACTAATCTGGCAAACTGGGCTTTTGACTTTTGTTGTTTTTTTCTTTACTTCTTCCACACGTTATGTGCACACCAGCCGTGTCGCTGCACCCAATCAGAAGGCGGAATCATGCTGTGAATAGAGGTCACTATCAGACCGCCACCAACAGAATGAAAAGAATATTCAGGCTACCGGATAGGTCAGATTTGTTTCAGTGGCGGGGCATTGTGCAAATGCCAGATTGCGAGCCGCATCTCCTCTTTCACTTAGTGTACAGCCGGTGTTTCGCTTTACCAAGTGACCGTGTCACTTGGTGACTCTCAGACGAATGCCTCACGGTTGCAGTTGTTGCAAACACGACCAGAAAGCCTTGAATTTTCCTTTATCTATTTTAAATAAATACTTCCCCGAATTTATCATCTGAGCCAACCATTTACACAAGTTACTACGAGCACACGGATGTATTCGGCTGAAAGTCAGCAGATAACACGGCCACAGGAACAGAAGAGGACCAACTCTTCTAGCTGCTTTTAATGGAATTTAAGATTTAAAAATAAATATGGCGAAACAGAAGTTTGCTTGAGTTTATCACACAAAGACGGTGTAGAGAGAATTCAGGTCAACCATCTTTCTCAACCAAGACCTACACCTGCGCCAGTTTCTCCTCAGCAGTTGGCAACTAATAACGACACATAGGTTTCCATCGACACCCGACCAATAACAAGTCAGTCGGATAACAAACTGTCATCAGGGCATCATACGACAAAAAGAAACAGACGAAAATAAAATCAAGTTAAACACTAAACCTCGCAGCCTCCTGCTGTAATCATCTAAAGTAAGATACTTTAACATTTTGGACTGTAGTGACTTATTCCAATATTATTGTTTGTTGGGTACAGGTTTTATTGGGTGCAGGCTACAAATGGATTTTATGCTGATGTTGCTGCATCTGCCATCTGTATGTGTGTGTGTGTGGTTTATGTGGCCGCCGTGCCAGTCTATGTCATAAGTGTCATTTTGAACGTGACTGGACATGTTGGTGTGGCTCCATCCAGACGCCTGATTAATGATGCTGTGCGTCTGTCAGCTGTGTGTGCGGCCGCTGTGCCAGGCCATGCTGCAAATGTTCGTCTTCCTCTCCGATGATGATGATGCATAAGGCCTGCATGATTAAACACTAGTGCACTCGGGGAGGTTTAGTGTGCAATGGCCATTTTTGGTCAACATTTGTGTTTCAGAACCAATTTAGTAGCCGGTGTTTGATCTCGGACGGACTAGGAACAACTGATTTCATGCCCAGCCACAATGAGATTTCTGCAGACTAACACATAACAAAAATATAATTTTAAATCAATTTGATAGAACGGGAAAATATTGGGACTCCTGGACTTCCACAGCAGCACTCAAGCAACGCTCCTGTCTAGTGTTAGTGATAAGAGGAACAATGTGTTCTACTAAATCAACTGGAACTCAAACTTTATATTGTAAACACCAGTCGTGCCGAGTTGTTATTGGCACAACAAATGTCATTATTCTCCTTCGATCTCCTATGAGACGACTGCTGTTTTCGTTGCAAACAAACCCTCTTGATGCTTTCGTGGTAGAGTTTGGACCGAGCGGTGAGATTAAATCCCAGGAGGGTGGGCCGTTTTCTGGAGCCCACATGTCTGGCGGCATCGACTATCAGACGCCGCTCAAAGTTGCTTAAACAGATGTATTCTCTGGGGAAGTGGATTGTTTGCAAAAACAGGTGGGTGTATGAAAAAAACACCGATACTGACTGTGTTCTTTTCTCTCTGGCGATGCTGATAAGAACTATTAGTCTCTCTCTCTCTCTCTCTCTCTCTCTCTGTGTGTCGGTGTCTCTGAGGGACTTTGGGCAGCATGCCCTTCAGCAGTAACTGGCCACTGAACCAAGATATTCCCTGTTACACTGCGAGTGGGGAGGGAGGAGGAGAAGCAGCAGGATACCGTCTCTCTCTCCCTCCTGGAGGGGAGACCATCATGAGAGGACCTGCAGAGGCTGTCCAGCATCCAGCCAGGACAGGAAGTAGATTAGCAGTTAGCTGTCAGTCACTGAAACAAATACACATGCACATAAACTACATTGTCCCTATAAATAATCAACAGTTTGACACGGAGTTGGCTGGGAAAGTGACTAAAAGGACTGCGGACACAAACAAAAGTCCCCCACTCAACCGTTTCCTGCTTCCTTGTCTTCCTCTCTGCTTCCTTGAGAACTTGCTCTCACCCCCAAGGCTGTTAAATGAAGGCTGGGACGCGGTCTTTGACTGAGCTGTGGGGTAGGACACATGCGTAGCGTAACTGGAGCTGTGATGTTGGAAGGTAACACAAGGATGATTGTCCTTGAACAATGATATTCTTCATCAACTAACACTCATATGATTTTGTGTTGGTGTCAATTAGTTGATTTAATTGACAGATCAGTAAAACTGAGTCTCTCCACGAGGAATCACAAAACAGCATCAATTTAGATCTTGTATTCACCAGATGTGCTCACACGTTTCTTGGAAAGAAGTCATTCATCACGAAGAAAACATAAAAATCCACTAAGAGGAGGCAGCCTTGGTCCATAGCGTTTCCAAATAGGAAACATTTGTTCACGGTATTTTATTAAAGATCTTTTCAATAAATGCTAAATTGTAATTCTCACCCATAAACGAGTACTATTGACACCTCCTCTGCTGACGCCACAGTAAAACGAATCATTCCATGTTCAGTGCAGAGCAGATGTTACTGCGCATGTGTTGTGTCCACATGGTTTGACATGATGTGAGGCCTTCTCCTCTTTGAAGCCTAGCAGCACCTTTCAGAAGCTGCAACCCCGAGCCTACGGAGAAAAATTAAACTGCCTCACTTCTTTGGTGGAATTTTTAAATATTTTTATACATAAATATGTTCTTGATTTTTAACTAAATGTTTATGAGCTGCTTGTGTAAATACACAACCCAGGGAATATTTGATCATATACAATGTAAGCTGTTAACATCCATGAGACTTGTATTAAATGTCTATTTTAGTTTGAGCAGTTTACGCTAGTTTGTACGCAGCGTGTTCCATGTTCCACACAAGACGGCGTTATCAGTGACGTCAGCGTTGATGAAGGTTTAATAACTCTCTACCAGTCCCCGTTTATTAATCTGGGACGAGACCTAATACGGCGGACCCTGCAGGCAAACACACAAACAAAGTGGAAAGTTGACGCGAAGAGGGTGTAGGAGACGGATCGGAATTGTTTCACCACCCACCATGACGCCTCCCAGTCTACACCCGTTCACTTCTATTCAACCCACGGTTCCTCCCCTCAAGCTTGACCCTCCTACCTCAAACCCCCTTAACATCCTCTGGTCCCTCCTTCATATTAACGCTGTAAGTGTGATGGTCTTTGTTAGTCGACATAAAGCTTCAATATATCTGACGGGACCCAAAGTAACTGCATCTCTGTCTACCATCCGTATGAATACTTTGCTCCGGGCTAGTTTCTTTTTCTACTTGTGTCCTTCTTCCCAGAGTCCTCTCTGCCGGCTGAAGTGGACTAATTTATGATTTCATTCTGTGAGAGAGCAGC